TTAAATTTGTTGCGTGTTATTTTAAACATGAAGTATCGAGCTATCTTTATGTTTTATAATAATATTCTTGTCTAAATTGCATAAATTTGTTTCATTAGATCACAATAGTCTGTAAAAAAGTTTTCAAGACCCTAGCCCCTTCGGCACCCTTCGTTTATTTTTTAGGTTTTACCACACAGAGAAAAACTGAACTCAAAATGAGTCGAAAAAGTTATTATGAGCTGCAACAAAAATGAACCTCGCAGATGGCGCCACGTTCTATGTCATTTAACATGGACTCATTTTGAGTTGCAACAAAAATGAGTCCAAGTTTTTTCTGTGAAAGATTGATAATTTTTTTTTTAAATTAATAAATGGCATAGGGGTCATCCATATGCCACGTGGACAGTTTTTCAAAGATTTTTGACCCCCCCACCTTGTGGACACAAAAATACATGGGATCGTGGACATTTTCAAACTTTTTAACCCCCCCCCCCTCAAGTGTCCACGTGGTATATGGACGACCCCATAGCAGTAAAAATTTTAAAAAGTAATTAATTTTTTGAAGAATTATATTAATAATTTTGAAAACTTTGATTTCTAAAAAATTTTTAAAGATTATTTTCAATAATATTTTAAAAAATTGTATACTCTCTAAATCTGAATCAGTGAAATTCCACTGAAAATCAGTGAAATTTGACTGAGAATCAGTGACTTTATTCTCGGGATTTGAATTTCACTGAAAATCAGTTAAAAATAACTGAAATTTCAGTCATTTTCCACTGATTCGCCAATCAAAAAACTACTGAAAATTTCTGTCACACATATTGATAATTTCAGTTATTTTTGAATTGACCAATCAGTGAAAAGTGACTGAAATTTCAATCATTTTTAACTGATCTTCAGTGAAATTTCACTAATTCAAATCGCGAGAATAGAGTTACTGATTCATTAGCTGTTCACATGCATTTTTCTTGCCCATGGGAGAAAACGGCCGCCATTTTCATACAAATCCACGGGAAAAAAAAGTTCCCAGATATTTCAGGAATTATTTCCTAACTCTTGGATACGTGGTAACAGCTCTGAACTAGCGACGAACATTCAATGGTAATCAATGAATGTTTGAAAGAAATTCGGGAACTGTATTAGAAAAAGCTGTAAATAGTCCAATAGTCTTTTTTTCATTACTTTCTCATGTAAAGTTCATGGCACTGGCCGCAACTGTTTCTGAAATTTTCGGGAACTCGTCAAGGAATCTTGTTGCGCAGAAACCCAGTGCGCACCAGTCTCAACAAGTCTCACAGTCAGTAAGACTTGCGTGCCTTATATATTTATTTTATGCTGAGGTATTTAACGCTCCTGTTTAGCTCAGATGGATAAGACGCCGGACTTCTATTCCTCGGGTACGCGAGTTCTGTTCCAGCCGCCGTCGATTTTTCTCTAATATGGTTTTTTCTATTTCAGAAACCTAATAAAAAATAAAAATTGTATGTGACCTTCAAGGATAAATGTGTGTGTGTGTGCGCGCACGTGTCAAGGAGGGGAAAAGCAGAATCCATTTTTTCTTGCATTCGCCTAACTTTTCGATTTTCTTGAACATTTCCCGACTTTTTCAAGAACAGTTTGCCGAGAAGTGGTGAAATAGTTATAATTTGTAAAGAAATTCCGGTCTCGGGGCGCCCTCGACCTCCACTCGTCACAAAAATTACCGTAAAGAAATGGCTGCCTTTATCCTCTTGTTGCTTAATATACTATTTCGCTTGCCTTTCACTACGTTCGCTTATCCCCACTCTACTCAATCTTCTACGCGATTCGCATGTGTGCGCGCACACCACTCTAGAAACAGTAACGTGTTCGTGTAAACGAATCCCCAAATGAGCGCCTGGATCGTAGATACTCAAAATTCAACTTCTGAATTTAACTATTTTAAATACACATCCTTATGGGCAATTCTCTGGAACCTTTAACCTTTAGGTGTCTTATATTTATTATGCAATTACTCAAGATATATCAAATGTTTTATAAAAAGAATTATTGTTCCATGTAAAGAATGTTTAATAATATTAAAATATGTTAGTTTAAAAATTATTAAATTATGTTTAGTAATTAATATATATTTTTTAATGTGGAAAAGTAAGCAAATCACGAGAGTCCCTTTAGGTACTTTCAGAAACATAAACTAATTTTATAAGTTGGCACATCAACATAGAATAAAACGACGAATACATAAATGTAAATGAATATCTAAGGATTATTTTAAAAGTAATTAGAAGATTATACGCATTTGGAAAGTAAAGATATTTAATTTCGAAAAATTTCCCTTATTTTCGTGTCAGGACCGTAACTGCAAACGTACTTGCAGATATTTCAAGAGTGCCTTAATAAAATGAATTCAACAATACATAGAATGAAAGCTTAAAACTTACTAAAACTGTGGCCAGTTGAAATTTTTATGTGCAATAATTTATATTGAAATTATTGAAGAATATTGTTCTTGAATTCGACAGAGAACCTGGTTATGTCAGGACCGTAAATGATTCGGCACAATTAAACAAAACTATAAAAATTTATCAAACCTGTACGCACATTCGCACAATTATATTTTTTACTTGTGTGTAAAAGCACGCCTTAAAATTTTCAATAATTATCGAGATACAAGGAGGTACACGTGAAAATGTCAGGACCGAAATTGTCAGGACCGTAAAAAACTAATTTTTTGTCGCAATAAATTAGGATTTCAAGGTTGTCAGTGTGATAAATTGATAACTTCACTATTGACCGTTCTGTTTTTAAAGTTCAAAATAGAAATATGTAATTCGTAAAGTTAAAAATAATGAGGTCAATGAAAGAAATTTAGAATAAAAAGCAGAACAAATGAGGGAAAAAAGAAGGAAAAAAAGGGAAAAAGAAGCAGAATACAATTTGAAAAACTTGCATCAGAGAAGGAAATTATTAAGGTTATCTAGAAAAAATATTACAATTAAGATAACTTTAATTAAATAAATAAATAATAATTAAGTTCACTAATTTTTATTAAAATATTTAAATTTGACCAATTTAATTTAAATTTAATATAACTCTAATAGAGAATATTAAAAAATAAATAATAAATATTATAAAAAAGTAAAGACAACCAAAATATTTAAATCCAAAACAATCGAAAACAATAGATTTTAACCTGTAAAAAATCGTCTTATTAAAAAAGAATAAAAATATATGAGACCTTCGAAATATTACATTTTTAACTGCAAAAATAAATTCTAAATGCTAATTTTAATTTATATACAAATTTTTATTAATGTGCTAGTAAATTTTTTTTTTCAAGTCAAAAGTTAAAGGTTCCAGAGAATTGCCCTTATAGGAAATTTCATTGCGCATCTTTTTTTTTTCTTATGCAATTTTTTTGTATCTATTAACGTTTTCGAAATATTTGGAAAAAACTGTTTTTTTGAAACTGTAATTTAATGACATTTTTCACTTCAACTCGCGATATTTCAGACAATTTTAAAAATTTTTCAATGAAACAAAAAATAAAATGCGTCTTAAGGTATTCTACGAATGATAAAAAAAAGAAAACAGTTATTTTCTTTATAAACAAAATTGTTATTAATTTTTTTTCTTAATTAATGTAAAAATCATGAACTACAATTATCACGGCTCTCGTTTAACGAGCGAATTTTGAGTAACAGAGAACTTCCAATGCGAAAGTTGTTCATTATGGTCCAAAAAAGTTTTCTGGAAAATCATAGAGTTAACAATTAATTAGTGTTGATATGGTGAATGTTTAAAGTTGCTAGGAGCCGAACGTACACCACGCGTCACTCGCCATAGGTAAAAAAAAATTTTTTTTTGTTTATTTAGATTCATATTACTGTATAAGAAAATTTTATTCTTTCTATTAAGACGAATGATCTTTATTTTATAAATGTTAAATTGTATTGAAAATGATTTAAAAATTAAATACACTTGTCGTTAATGCTTCCTCCACGAAGAAGCAAATTTTGTTTTGCTGATTGTAAAGAGGAAGCAAAATGTTCATGTAATGAACATCTGGATTTACAACTTGTTTTAATACAATTTTAAGTAAAGTCTTCGTAAAACTTAATTATGTTCAAAGTTTCAAGTCAATCTGATCAATTTTTTATTTTGTTGTCCGCCATATTGGACCCGCCATTTTGAATTTTGGAAAACGAATGTCATATTCGTAATCAGCGACCTCGAAAACCCCCGAGTAACCGGTTTCAGGAACATTTAAGAAGTTTTTGATCACCTTTTTTAAGTTGCGCATATATGCGTCATGAACCACTTTTGGCCAGTTTAGTTTTGCGCATATATGCGTCAGCGACAGTCAACGGGTTAAAACGTTTTTGCGTTAAAAATGTAAGAGAATATTTAATGTAGGGACTAATTTGGAAAGGGGTCTCAATTACGAACGTGGCACGAAGTTTGCCGAAATTAAGGAAAAGTAGGGGAACTGGGGATGAACGATTGATAGGCAGAGCGTTGCCGACCGCGTACTTATGATAACGAAAATCCGGAACACATTGTTAGTAGTGATAATTTTGTATAAAGAGAAGTGACGTTTTATTTAATAAATTTATATAATCAGCTCCAGAATTCCCAGTGTTTTTAGTTTTCATACCTGACAAGCCCCTTTTAAAAAGTTTTTATTTTTTTAATTTTTCGTTTTTTAAACGTTGCGGACTTCAGCCTCATGCAAATGTACTTATGTGAAGCATAAATAATTAATATTAATAGGAATGACAGTAATTAATTTGAGAATTATAAACTTTATACAAATAATTCAAGTGGAAAATTATAAATTAAACTTCTTCTATAGACAAACTTACACCTATATATTATGAAAGTTAAGACGCTAGTCTGCGATGATTTTGGGAAAAGCATCAATTTTTTCTACTTAAAGGTAAAAGAGAAGATTTAGCTATATAAGTTAGTGACTTTTCGCAATTAACTATTAATATTTTATTATTACCGAGAAGTGAAAAAAGAATTTTGCGGGATTGTAATAGAGTAATAATTATCTTATGGATGTGCATGCACCGTCGCGTCGATTCATGAGCGAGAGCAATGCAGTCTTATTTTAACCCTCAGAATGGACACTTCTTTTAGATCTTTTTATATGATGAACGAAAAGTTACTACGGGCTATTGGTCAATGGCCGTATCAAATGAAATTGAAAAAAGTTCTTTTTTCAACTTTAGTTTATATTAGTCTTATAAGCTTACTCATTCCGGAGGTATAACTATTATTTATTGTATTTAACTAATAACTATAAATAAATTTTTACTAAAATTGTCAATTCTTTTATTATTAGCTGTTAGGCTTGAAAAAACATTGGGGAAACTTGGACATAGTAATTGAATGCATACCTCCTCTTATTATATTAATTATCGTATTACTTCTATTAACAAACTTTATTATTAAAATGGAAAAAGTAAGATCTACTCTTTATACTAATTACTAATTTTTTAATGTATATCGAAAATAACCAATTATCAATATTCCTTAATTTCACGTAATTTCAAAATTTTAACATCTCAATATCTCAGTTGGTTTCTATTCAAAAAGTGCAACTGTCAGAAATTGAGGAGGATTGAAAATTTGAAAAACCTATAAATTAAGCGCTCTCTGCGCACAGAGAAGACTCGTTCTCTGTCTTCAAGATTCTTAATTACCTAATTATTACAATTTATTAATTTATATTAATACCAGAAATATATTATTAATAAATTCCTAAAAAACCATGCATCAATTAATTGAAATTGGTGTCAGATAGAACTTATATTTTCGAAAATGAAACGCGATTGGGTCTATTGGAGGAGAGATTCAAAAATTGAAATCCTACACGCTCATACTAGGAGAGGAAAAGATCTTAATAAATTATACATAAGTATAGTTTCATCAATAAAGAATTAACTATAGCTAAAAAATAAAGAAAACTATCATATAAAATTTATTTTTTTATAGTTTACATTGCTTTTACTTCAGTTGGTTATTTTCTTCTACCAATTGTTCCACAACTTTTAAACATGTTCCATCAGAACCAATCTGTAGTAAAACAAACACTGTATTTCACGGACTATTACGTAGATGAAGAGCAATATTATTTACCGATAGTAATTCATAGCTATATATCAAGTATCACTTGTATGCATATTCTAACCAGCATAGAAATTACATTTTCTTCAGTCATTCAGCATGCTTGTGGAGTGTATTCTGTTTTAGGGTAAAAGCAGAACAAGTGTGCAAAATATATGCACTTAATTGTAAATTGTCTTTATTCATTGCAGTAATAAATTTTGTCACTATTTGCAGAGCAAAACTGGAAAATCTTTTAGACGATGACTTTTATGCTCGTGCAATAGAAAAAAAAATTCCACAAGAAATAGATAAAGAGATTAGAATGTATGTTCAAAAACATCTACAAATAATAGAGTTTGTATATTTTTTAATAAGTGTAAAATAGTTATTTATTATTATGTTAATATTATTAATTTCTTTATTCAAGATTTGTTGACGACATATGCGATTGTTTTTCAACGTCATTTTTCTTGATCTTAGGATGTAATACGATAATAATAAGTGTGACTGGTGTACAGGTATTAAAAAGTGTATTTGATAATTAAAATTAAATAATATTCAGAGTACACAATTTATTATTGAGTAATTTCTTTCTTTAGACTGTAATAAAACTTGATAAATTAGACGAAGCCTTAAGATTCGGTACTTTTACTCTTAGTCAAATTATTCATCTTCTCTATCTCAGTATTCCGTGTCAACAATTGATTGATCATAGTCTTAGTTTATCTGCCAGCATGTAATGGATAATTATCTAATATAAAAATAATTTTAAATAATTAAATTAATTAAAAATAAGTAATTTACTGAAATTTCAGTTACAATGGTTACTGGTATCAATTGTCTTTAGAGTCGCAAAAAATGTTGCTGTTTATCATGAAAAGAAGTTCAAAACCCTCTGAATTCACGGCCGGAAAACTATTTACTTTTTCGATGAACAATTTTGCCTCGGTCAGTAAAATCAAAATTCATTTAAAAATCAATTTTTATAATTACTGCTTCATTAGATAATCTTTCACTTTTTTTCTCAAGGTTCTTCGAATGTCCATGTCATATTTTACTATGCTGTCTTCAGTTCGATAAAACATTCCATTTATTTACTATAATAATAATAATAATATAAAGACACCAATATTTTACTATTGCACAGAAATAAATAAAATTTAAATAATTAGTACTTACATACAATCAAGTAAGTATTTTCAAACGAATTCTCTAATCAAGTTCATCACTGTTAAAACACTGCAAAAACAAGCATCTTAAATACATTATAATCACTTTTAAAACGATTAAAACATCTTATTTTTCCATCTTCTATCTTAGAAACTAATGCATTTTAAGATGCTTTTGATAACTTTTTGGAAACAACTTAAAAGTGACTACCAAAATATCTTAAAATAAGATGCCTTCTTTTTACTGTGCAGTGACCCGAATCGTTTTCATGTTTGACCTTTTTTTCTTTTCCGTCATTTCACACTTGTCATCCTCTTCTGAATTTTAGTGAACGAAACTTCGACGAATTTGAGATTAAATAACTTTCAATGTGGTTCAAAATTTCAAATATTTCGAATTTTCTGAAAGTTATAACACTTTTAGAAAATTCAAAATATTCAGGGCTCGAACCAGTGAAAGTATTTAAAAATATACGGACTTTACGGACCATTTACGGACAAAAATATAACCAGACCGAGTCACAGTGGGGCAAAATGTAGTAAGAGGCGTCAAAATTCTGTAACCACGTCAATTTTTAATGAAAATGAATGCACTTTTGTGGCATGAAGCTTCAAGTATCATAAAATTTGAAACCCTTGCCGCATTTCCAAAATTCAAAATGGCGTCTGAGCTGTAAGTGCCTAAATTTGGTTATTTTCGTATTTTTTAAAAGTTATGAACATTGAAACTGAAACAACTTGCACAAATAAATTCTAGAAATGTTGCTAAAGCTATATTTTGGGACTGAGGCCTATAATCGTTAAGAATCTGCATTGCAACTTTCAAAATTCAAAATGGCCGATCCAATATGGACGATCAAGCGACAAAAATCCTTATAAATGCATATTAAAAGGAATTATTTTCATGAAAGTCTATACTCCAAGGTTATTTTCGCCGCTGATTACGAATCTGAGGTCAGATTTTCAAAATTCAAAATGGCCGATCCAATATTGCGATCGAAATTATGAAAAATTAAGCAAATAATTCTGATACTCAGTATTCCAACAGTTTTCGAGTCGCTGATTACGAATCTGAGGTCAGATTTTCAAAACTCAAAATGGCCGACCCAATATGTCTGTCGAAATTATGAAAAATTAGACAAAAATGATTCTGATACTCAATATTCTAACAATTTTCGAGTCGCTGATCACGAATCTGAGGTCGGATTTTCAAAATGTCCGATAGAACATGAAGGAAGGATTTGTTGAGTATTGATATTTGTTTCTAAGAATCAGTTTCTGCACTAATGGATGTTGTCGAGCTGATCTTTGTTACGTTGTTTGAGTACATCATTTTCATTTGTTGTATGAATAACTAAAATTATAGATTCAAAATTCTTAGAGTTGTATACAGATGAATTTATATTCTAATTTTTCAATCAGAATATCTTCCGATATTTTTTATTTTTAATTTAAAAATCAAAATACAAACAATAAAAAGTAAGCAGTAAACATTGAGAAGCTTCACTTTGAAAATAAGATAATTCCGAACTTAATATGATGAATAGGAACAAAGTAATAAATATTAACAAAAAATAATTGAAGATAGGTTGTAATTAAGAAATAGCATAAATGAGAAAATGGAATATAAAATTTAAAAACGTAAACAGCATCAACGAAGTTCACTCTAGTTTAAGAAAAAGACTGTCTGAATGCATGAAGTTTCATACAAGTAAAAAATAGCTAACTAGACATTCTTTTTTTTCACTTATTTTGTTACCATGGTGAAGCCGTGATTTTGAAAATCCGACCTTAGATTCGTGATCAGCGACTCGCAAACTGTTTAAATACTGAGTATCAGAATGATTTGCCTAATTTTTCATAATTTCGACCGCCATATTGGATCGACCATTTTGAATTTTGAAAATCTGACCTCAGATTCGTAATCAGCGGCGAAAATTACCTTGGAGTATAGACTTTCATGAAAATCATTCCTTTTAATATGCATTTATAAGGATTTTTGTCGCTTGATCGTCCATATTGGATCGGCCATTTTGAAAAATACGAAAATAACCAAATTTAAGAACTTACAGCTCAGACGCCATTTTGAATTTTGGAAATGCGGCAAGGGTTTCAGATTCTGTGATACTTGAAGCTTCATGCCACCAAAGTGCATTCATTTTCATTAAAAATTGACGAGGTTACAGAATTTTGACGCCTCTTACTACATTTTGCCCCACTATGCGAGTCAAATAAGAGAACATTTTACTTCAAACTAGAAATTAAAATTCTTCATGTTTTATAATATTTGAAGATGGTCCAGTGATAAAATTATTATTTCCATTCAATTATTATTTTCTAAAATTTTCAACTAATAAAATTCTTCTTTAAATCAATTATTTTTAATAATTTTCGAAAAAGTTATTTGGCAATTTTCAAATCCAGTTGTTTACAATTCAATTTTACGAAATTTCGATTCTTCGTAAATTCTTCAATTAAAATATATTAGAAAATAAAAACTTCAAATAATTTCAAAAAAAAGTCCGCAATTAAACTTTTTCAAAAAAATGAATTACAAAATTCAATTATTTCTTAAAATTCACGCTATATTGCTTCTAATATTCAATTATTATCTGCAATTTTAACGAAAATTTTTATTAACAAAGTTTTAAATAATTAAATTCATTGGACGAAAATTAATAAAATTTTTAAGAATAATTACAATTTTCGAGAAATTCGATTAAAATTGTATTAAAAATAATTTAAATTCTTCGATGAGTTTCATTATTTTTGAAAATAATTGAATTCACAAAAATAAATGAATTATTGCGAAGAAAATTATAAAAAATTGTGTAAATAATTGAATTGCTGTTAAATTTTTATTATTTTATGAAAATAATTAAATGTTTGCGTAGAATTTTTATCAAACTTTTTTTTAAATAATTGAATTTTGTTATTTATGAAGATAATTGAATTCTAGTCAAGAATGTAATAAAAATTTTGAAAAATAATTGAATTCACTGAAGAATTTTGTTATTTTTGAAAATAATTGAATTTTTGTAATCATTTGTAACTTCTCCAAAATGCAGTTTAATTATTATTTAAAAGTTTCATTGTAACTCATTTTTAAATCAATTTTTATTAAAAAAAACTCTACGAGAATCCAATTATTTAAATACAAATAAAATGCAAATAAATAATAATTTATTGAATAATTGAATGTTTCTTAAAATTCAATTTCCATAAAGAATTTTGTCAACAAATTTTTAAATAATTGAATTCTTACGACGAATTTTATTAAAATTTTTAAGAATAATTACATTTTTCGAAAAATTCGATTAAAATTGTATTAAAAATAATTGAAATTCTGCGATGAGTTTTATTATTTTTGAAAATAATTGAATTCCACTGAATAATTTTGTTATTTTCGAAAATAATTGAATTTTTGACAAGAATTTTAATCAAATTTTTGAAAAGAATTAAATTCCACTGAAGAATTTGGTTATTTTCGAAAATAATTGGATTTTTAAAAAGAATTTTAATAAAAGGTTTGAAAATAATTGAATTGTAATGAAGAATTTTGTTATTTTTGAAAATAATTGAGGGGCTGGATGCTATAATGTGTTACGCGTGAACACACGGCCAGTCAGTTGGGTCATGGAGAGAAAATTTTGAAGTTGTTCAAAATAAATTTAAAATTATTGTTTCTTGTTCAGAATGTCAAGGCGAAACTTTTTTTCTAATAAAATTTTTTTATATAATTTTTTGTTTTTAAGTAAATTGAGAAAAGCGTGATTTTTTAACCTAAAAAATTTTAATGAATTTTTGACTTCAACTCGTGATTACTTCGTTAAATATTAATATTTTTACACGAAATTTACACACAATATTCTTCAAACTAGTTCAAAAGTGAAACAATATTTAATAATTTTTCAAAAAATTCTATGTCTAAGTAAATAATTATTTAAATAATTTTGCCGGAAAAATGATTATCCTATTTTCAATTGGAAAAGTTGAGTGACGAATTTTCGTTTTCGGAAAACTTCCAGTGACTAAAATGTTCATCAATATGTTAGGAAGTTTTTTGGAAAATTTTTCGTCATTTGATAATAAATTAAAGAAAATAGAGCAATTTTAACAGTGTCGCGCTCTGCTGTAAAATTACGGCGTGGCCGCGCACGTGTGGAATGGCCGCCATTACAAGACCAATGTATACAGTGAGTCAATGTTTACGTTTACAGCAGAGCACGACGCTGTTAAAATTGCTCTATTTTCTTTAATTTACTATCAAATGACGAAAAATTTTCAAAAAAACTTCCTAACATATTGATGAATATTTTTGTCACTGGAAGTTTTCCGAAAACGAAAATTCGTCACTCAACTTTTTCAATTGAAAATAGCTGCATCATTTTTCCGGCACATTTATTTAAATAATTATTTACTTAGACATAGAATTTTTTGAAAAATTACTAAATATTGTTTCACTTTTGAACTAGTTTGAAGAATATTGTGTGTAAATTTCGTGGAAAAATATTAATATTTAACGAAGTAATCACGAGTTGAAGTCAAAAATTCATTAAAATTTCTTAGGTTAGAAAATCACGCTTTTCTCAATTTACTTAAAAACAAACAATTATATAAAAAAATTTTATTAGAAAAAAAGTTTCGCCTTGAAATTCTAAACAAGAAACAATAATTTTAAATTCATTTTGAACAACTTCAAAATTTTCTCTCCATGACCCAACTGACTGGCCGTGTGTTCACGCGTAACACATTATAGCATCCAGCCCCTCAATTGAATTTTTGACAAGAGTTGTAATAAAATTTTTGAAAATAATTGAACTTCTATGCTGAATTGAATATTAAAAACAATACAGAATGCATTTTTAGAAATAATTGAATTTTAGAAAGGTTTCAAATTGAA